TTCGCCGAGCATCAGTCGTTTCGGGAGTCGCCCGTCCGGCTGCCTTGCCAATGCTCCCGCGAACAGTAGGCGTCGTTGTCGGATCGTGGCTTCAACGCTCTGGCATTCGACCCTCTTCAGCGTCTGGGCGTAGGAGAGCTGCCGGTAGGTGTTTTTCTTGCGCTTGTACCCGATAACTCGAAGGAGCAGTCGGTGGTGTATCGACCGCAGCGTCTGATAGTGGCCGCTGAGTGGTGACCATGCCATGCAGCCGTTCAGCAGTGCCTCCATCGCCTCCGCCTGGAGCAGGCGGACCTTGAGTCGGAATGGCGCTTGCGGTCTGTCGGAGAGCTCTCGGCCATATCGCCTGAGGCACGCCCACGCTCCTCTGCTCCTGTAGTTGATCTCCCGGGTGAGGTCGCCATGTTCGTTGACGAGGCCACCGAGGTACCGGAACTCGGTCGTCTGGGCGTGTTTCTGTCCCGCGGCTTCGATGGTCAGTGGTGGAGGCGGGGCGGGCTGTGATGTTGTAGTCGGCTTGTCCTTTGCGCGCATCACGAGCGTCTCCGTCTTCTTCTCCGACACCGTTAGCCCGAACTCCCCGTACACCTCAACGATGATGGTCATCATTCTCGCCAGTCCTTCTGCAGACCTCGGTAGCACTTCCATATTGCACTCTAGGCCCTCTCTCGGAAGGCTTTCCCGGCACAAGTCACGAGTTGGGTGAGCGTCCTGATGCAGAGGGCAGGATATTTAGACGAATAATGGTTTCCGTCTGTGGTATGAGTTCTGAGATGCAAACATGGGCCTTGTTTTGTCATAACGTGTCATGCACCATTGTCACCCCCCAAGGGCGCCCAGTGGAAGTTTGTGGTCAAGTTGCGGCCATCGTCTGCTTGTCGTGCGTCACGCACGATGAGAGCCAAGATTGACAGATTCTGGAAAAGTGGTGTTCACCTACGATTGAGTGACGATACGTTGGACCCACCAATTAGCACGCAACGCTGTCCCTGGGCCTCTGTCTCTGCATTTTACGCAGCTGTGCTGTGGGTGATCCAGGTGCTGGTGGAACTGGAAATATGGTCCAACACATCCGCGCTTCACGTGGTGGTCGAAGTGCAAGCGCTCCTGATCGGGATGAACAGTGGACTTTCGGGGTGAGACACAGCTCATTGTCGCTGTCGGTAGTATCATGCCTCGAACAGGTTTATTCGCCTCAGAATCAGGCACATTCGTTTAGCCTCTGCGTCCGCGCTGACATAACAGGGTTTGGCTTCCAAGCGGAACGTGATACAGGCCCGTGCCGCTATGTAGTCAGGCCTCCCCCCCTCTTGGCGAGACCGTATAACAGGGCGTGGTTATGTCCGGGGAGACCTGCTTCTCTCACCTGCCGCCTGCGTGAAGCCACAATGAAAGCCAAGGTAGTGCTCCAAAATTTGCCCGCCCGCGCGAATCTTGCTCCATATATTGACTGTTGCATCGACGCAGCTTGCTCCTTCCCATGGTGAGAGGCCACCGTGGTGGGGTGAAGGCATGGTTCAGGGCCACTGTGGTTCCTGTCGACGAGACGGTTGCGGTGTCAGCGTTGGATGTGGATGGCGTGGTAGGGCTGGCAAGCAGTGGTGGAGAAATGGCGGAGCAGTTTGGAAAATTCTGCCGAGAGAACTTGTGCATGGAGAGCTGGGATTTCCTCGTCGACGTTGTCCGCTACTAACGCATGGCGCCAAGCCCCGTAAGTACATGTACAACAGCCAAATAAAGAACTTGACATCTGTTGGTGCTCCCTTGATATACCCAGCGCTGCACAAAAACCTTAGGTTTCCGCATACGTATGCAAAGGGCGACACAATACATCATGAATATCAGTGTGGTATGGTCGAGATAAGGCAAGAATCGATAGATGATTGCACTCCGGGAATTTATTGTGCATAGGGTCGAGACTTGCAAACGTCGCCAACAGAGCAATTGTCTGCTGTCGGGCGGGCTTTGATACCCGCTGGGCGTGTTTGTGGAATTTTTCTCACCTCCATGGGCTCACCTGGTTTGTGCGCTATATCGTGAAAATATTTTGCAGATCGCGAGAAACCCTGAGGACGAGCAGTTCAACTGCTTCTTGCACATCGTGAACCACTACCTGCTTCCCACGTCAACCGACGAGATCAACATATCCAGCGCAATGCACAAACGCATCGCGCCATTCAGAACAAGGTACGGTATCCCAGGAATCCCAGTTCCTTCGGGGCCTCGCGATTCGAAGATGGACACCCACCCGTAGCAAGGAAAGAAGAAGAAAGTGACGCTACCTCGATTCCAACTTGCAATAGAGCTCCAGAGTGGTCGTGTCGTGGGCTCGATATTCTCATCAGACGTCCGCAGTGATCGGATATCATTGAAAACACCCTACACTCGACCGGCCATGTTAAGTACCCGTTCCGTCGTTCTCTCGAACCACAGGGAGGCCTTCAACAAGCTCAGTCTCAAGGAACGGGTCAGCATCTTTAAGGAACCCTTCGGCGAGATCGTCCGAGTGCTTGAGCAAAACCTACTCAATAAGTTCCAGAAGCGCATAGCTTTGGACCGGGGTGCGTTTGTCTGTGACTAGTGCCTAGGGTGGCAGCTATACATTAGACGTCAGCCAGACGCCGGGCTTGAATCTCTTGACCCCTCGGTGCTTACGTATCTTGATTGCCACGGTGTCGGTACGTTGCCGACAGAAACGGCAGGGGTTCGATGCCTTCGTCTACTAACAAACTCGAAACTGATTTTCCCCAGAACCTTTTAGACTGTACCTTGTAGGCTATACAATCTCCTGGCCCACTCGAATCGTTTGTGACCTCCATGTTACTGAGTCGCAGACCTCTCCTCTTGGCGTCACCCCACACAATCCCTTGTCAGAGGCCCAACTCTTCAAAGCAGCGGATGGGGACGAGGAGCTGGTGATGGTCCTGAGGGGGTCCGATCATCGAAATTTTTCGAGCCCTCTCCCCGAGTGAAACCATCGTACGTGCTTGAACAATGAGTGCCTTAGTCTCTTTTCTTTGGTGCGCACAAGCTGGCGGACTAGATTGATAATGTTGTGTTCATGATGAGATGGGCCAAACCTCCGTTCACTTGAAGTTGCTCTCTCTTGGTTGTACTTAGTCGCTCACGCTCATTGAATACCCAAACATGTTCCTGTGCCGGCACAGCGAACTATCTTGCAGTGTTTGGTCCTTGATACATCTTCCTCCTAACAACTCTCTCTCTGATGACATTCCGGTTACACTTGCTATCATATAGGCCATTGCTCGCCTTCTTGAACAAGTACCGCAAGTTTTCCGGCTTGCCTTAGAGAACACGTCGTGCATACCGTGTACGGAAGGTCTTATGACTAGTCACACCCCAACACACATGGCTTCGTTCGTTGAGTGTCGCATGGTACGTTCTGGAGGATCAGGCGGCAGGAACACATATTTCTTTATATCCGTCGCTACTTCGATTGATGACCAAGCTGCTGTGGAATGATATTCCGCCCGGACACTTTGTGCCTCCCGCGAGGTGTTGTCCAGGCAGGCATTATAGTTGTGGTACTTGAAAATATAGACATCATCTGTATCCTCTCGCCGGTTGTTTTGCACCCCCTTGGCTACCCATCGATTTCTCTTGGAATGGTGCTTGCTTCAGGAAACCCACCTTGCTCTAGCGTGACATGCTTAACCTCCTTGTATCCTCCTAGGTGCAGATATTCAGCCTCATATTTGACTTTCCAATCCTTCGTCATGTACTTAGAGTATCACCGAAACGAAAATGTGCTGTTTTCTCCTTTATGTACACCCTCCTTTCTGTTTCGGAAGGTATTTTGCGTTGGAACTACCCCGACGGCGACCAGGACCGCCCGCGTTTGCTATGGCCGACGCCACTCATTGACTACCTCTTTCATCTCAACCTCCCTCATTCCTACGGCGGACGTGTGGAGGGAGGGCGAGTCGGGGAGCAGCACTTTTTCTGAGAAACATTTGGGAATGTTTGTAGACCGTTGTCATCGACAGGGGGGAGTCGACCACTCATTGTGTTGCTGCGACAAGACGGTCATGCGGTTTGAACAGGCCAAGAAGCGACCATACTGAGCACATACGGACAACTGAAAAAAGGAGAGGGGCATCGATCTGCTGGCTATCAAACAGCCACTACAAGCTGTGTGCCTTCATCAGCAAAAAAACCGGTGGCCGGCTGGTGCCTTCGGTATTGCCATGTTCAGCACCCTCGCAACATCCTGTGCCTCTGCAACATAAGTGAGGGTCCTGCATGCACGCGCTATGCTTGGGGGGCGTTTGCGCCCCGAAACTTCAGGTTCGGCCAACACATCTGTGAGATCATGAGCGACATGTTTCGCAAGTGCGCGAGTTTGTGCCTTTAGCCCCAGATTGGACCTCGCAGCACTGTGCCCAGCTCGAAACATGGTCTACATTTTTCAAGACTGATGAAAACGCTTGGCGAAAACTTTTCATGGAGACACACGGCCACAACCGACGGCACTTCCCCGGAGATACTTGATGTTGTCATCGTCGTCGTTGTTGATGTTGTTGTGTTCAGGTGGTTGTTGTTATTGTCTTCACATCAAAAATCGTCCCGGTCGCTCTGTCCAATACCTCCTTCTGTCCAACTCTTTTCTTACAAATCCAACATTTGACGCAGTCCGCGGTCACAGGGTAACTTCCCAAAAAAAGGCATGCAAAAACAAAAATGGACCCCGTGGGGTCATCGGAGCGATATGATACAAAGGAAGATGGAAAAAAAGAAAACATCAGACCTCAAGAAATAGCTTGGAGCCCTCCGCTTTCCTCTACACGCGATATGAGGTGAAATAAAAACTCAAAAGACGAAATAAAAACACACGACGGATGTACCCAGAAAATGCAAGTTCGGTTCGGATGTAGGTGAATAACACCAAAGCTGCCTTTTCAATGAACAAACACCACGCGAAACAAACAACCGACACAGCACTCGCCAGACCTCCCCACACGTCAGAGGTTTCCATAGGTGTTGCTGCTACGGGTTTGTTTACACCTCTTACATAGCAGGGCACCCAAGCGACAAGCAAAGAAGCGCCACGGAAGACTAGACGAGATTCGACGCGCCTGACCAGTCGCTCCCAGTCGAGACTCCTTCGGATACCTGACAAAGCAGCAGCACAATCATGAAGGAACGAAGGGATCAGAAACGAGCGGCCTGAGCGAGAAAGAGAGGTGGTGGTTGTCGAGGTGTGCTGGTGCTGGTGCTGTTGCTGTCTGCCCGTTTTTCATTATCTCTCATGTACAGCAACGCGCGGCCCACCGGCATACGTCACCGTGTAGGCGCCCAGCGATCTCATGACGCCTCTTTGTTGGAAACCTCGACGGGAGCATGTCGACCAGACCCTACTGCAGAGCAAAGACAGGAACACAACAAACGTAGGGAAACCGTTTCGCTACGTCGCGAAATCAGGGCACAGCACAAAACCCGGTAAAACCGCCCAACGCTTCGGTCGAAAAACCGCGTCACTGCCCACCTGAACATGGTGTCCCAAAGCAAAGCACGCGTTCTCGCCCTCCGCCTCAAGACCGGCAGCATCGTCGTCAGCGGAGTCGGAGAATGCTTGGCCGTTCTCGGGCTATTTGCGGTACGTGCGAGAACTGGGTCATCGCTGGGCC